CTCTGCAGACCAATGTGGCTTTACACCGGGACCGCAGCTCCCCCAGTAGCACAGCCCAGGAGGGCAGATGTGCCCACCAAAACCAAGGTGATTCTCGCTTCCCCTCCCCATGCAACCTAAGTGCCAAGGTGGCTGCCAACTTGCAAAGCGAAAATGGAACTCATAAGGTCATGCTGCTTCCTGAAACCGCTTCAAAGTGTGCAAAGAAACATGGAAAAATGCTTGAACAGAAGATGGAGAGAAAAGGTAGAATCTGAAGGATGATGCAATAAAAAGTGCAATAGATTAACAGGCAAGAGGTATTTGCGCGCTGAGAAAGGCATTTGCTTTTTCTCAAGAGCTGTACCAGTTCTACTTAGGGCATTTTACACAAGCATGGGTCTGAAAGTAAAACTTTTAAATTACTGGTCAAAAAAGAAAGGGAAAAAAAGTCTGACCTTAGCTACCAAAAATTATACTACAGAAAAGATAATTACCTCTTTGCATGTTATAAACACAGCACTCTAATCACCCGTTTTAGTGCAAACAGAACAGGATTTAAGAAAAAAAAAAAAAGGATCCTGTAATTCTTGACACTTGCAAGTAAATTCAGATCATACACTTATCACATGTTACTCTTTCTGTTCTCAATTACACGCTGATCCCATGAGGATTACAATTTCCATTGCTCAGATATGAAGCTCCTCATAAAGACGGCCGATTATTCAAAGTAGAAATTTAACATCCAGTAAAACCGTGCGAGGCCACTTAGCATTTCATAACTTCTCCCAAAAGTCGAGATCAGTGTTCGAGCCCATGTACACATGCACTCTTGAACGTCCAACAGAAATACAATCAAGATGTTTTGCACACCTCAGTCTCTCAAGATGCCTCCATGATCATTATACATATTGCAAACAAACGAGAGCTTAATAGCCACTAGAGGCGCGTTTCGTGATGCCTGCATAGCACAGTAAAGTTCCAATTACTTCAGAACCACTGTTTGTTGAAAAAAAAAATAAACAACTCATTTTCTAAGCCAAGCAGATTTACAGTCTATAGCAAAACCAGCTTATTTTCATACACACAGAATTGCTCCAAACAGGTGAAGAAGAAAATTAATTGCTTTTATTGCTAAATTGAGCATCCATGTTACATGCTATACTGAATACATATAGCTGGCAAGAAACTCCGTACCTATGCTAACGCATCCACCCTTCTGCTACATGCTGCTCTTAAACGGTATGAAATTTAAGTTTTGCTCAGAGTTACACTCAGAAGCTCCAACTCTGTGGCAGGAGCGGAATTACTCCAAATTCACACTGTTTCATCTCGGATCAGAGTCCACGTCCCAAAGTATACTGCCTTTGGCTTCAGGAGTAGCAGAATTTGGCTTGGTTTTACCAGAAAACCTCACCACCACGGGAGGACGCCTATTGGTTTGCAACGTCAACGAGTACAACCATGATTACCATTATGAGCTTACATTACCAGCTCCTTCCCTTTCTCTCCAGCTTCTAGCACAACACTGGCCTCAAGCGGGATTGTTCCCGAGAAGGCTATGGAAAACGGGCTCCTGAGGAAAGGGCTGGCCTCAGAAGTCAGGAGCACCAGCTGCAGTTTCTGCCTCTCCGTTTGGGGAGCCCTTGGAGCACAATCAGAAAGCACAGCCATCTGCCTCTAGCTGCCCCAAACATCCCAGTTCTAAGACTAAAACCATTAAAACTCTTCTTCTGATGCCCCTCTCTTACTGGAATTACAACACACGTGTTCCGGTGAGGGATATCGATCCACAGCAGATAAAAATCACTTACTTGAGCCTCCTCCTGCGTGTTTAAACCGTCTCTCCTGAGTAATCGGCTTTAAAAAAAAAAAAATCAACAAAACGAGAAATAATAAAACTAACCACTATTAACAAACTACTTCCATTGGAAAGAAAAAAAAATGTACCACAGCTTCTTGTTTAGCAGCAATTCAGTTTCCTCAGATATTTTACTTTTTGGCCCTACCTTTGGTATAGCTACAGAAGAAAAAAAAGCATCTTGCAAACCAGCGAAGCGGAAACTCACACCATAGCCAATGGTATGGGGCAAAGCTTGAAGGGGTAAGGCCTGTAAGACTACTCAGCTGAAAAAGCTGGGAACCCAGAAGAGGAGAAGCTAGGGACCGCTAGCCCCCGGACCCAATTTAACAACCGAGTCATGGCAGGGCGTTCCGTGAGAGCAGCCCAGCAGAAGTGTATGGCAGTCAATTCTGGAGACTAAAACCTCATTTTCTCAACGCATTTTAAACCTTCCCCATGCTGCGTGCTGCTCTGTTCTTGACCCTTTGCCTTCCCGTCTTACTTCCTCACAGCCCAGAACTGCTCTCTTCCTCTTCTCCTACGGCACCGTGGGCCGCAGGGATGGGCGCAGACACCTACGGTGCAAGGCCAGGAGCACAGCTTGTGTTCGTCCCCAGCGCGATGGGCGCACGGCGAGGAGGGGGAAGGCAGGGTGGCCGCTCGCGGGCTGGGGGCACAGCAGATCGCAGAGCGAAGAGAGGCCAGGGGCGAAAAACCCTCGGGAAGCAGCAAGAGCTGAGGGACAGCAACTGGAGGTTTCAAACCCTTATTTCAACAAGCTGTTGGATTTGCTGCTGCCATATATTATTTTTTACACGTCTTCGTTTGTAAGTAAGAAAATGCAACCTTTTGTTATGCCTTTGGCAGAACTCTAGAGCCTTTTCTTTTCCTCCTCCTTCATAACCCCCACCTTTCTACATCAGTTTTACGGAGATATTACAAGACACGCCAGCCTCAGCTCCTAGGTCTCCTGCTTTTCCTCTCAGACAAGCCCTTGGCGTCTGCGAGCCCCGTCATCCCGTCCCCTCAACCCGTGCACGCTGAGGAAGCAGCAGCAGTGTTGCTGCAGTAGCGCCGGTTTGAACGCTAGGGATAAAGCTGCGTCAGCTTTTCTATTATGAACACTTTTCCCTGACCTTATATCTCTGTTAAAAATAGGACTTGGGTCCAAAACCACCACCACCCCCCCGAAACAAGCAGTCTTTCTGCCTCCCAAGCAGCAACCTTACTTTATGAGCGTATAAACATGTCCATAAAGGTCATGATGATACACTTTTCTCTTTTTTTATTCATTTTTGACATATGAATTCAATAATATAGCAATGAACTGAGCAAATGCTATTTCCTAACCTTTTCCGGTACTTGCAAGGGAGTGACTGTAATTACAGCTTTAAAACCAATTATTTTTCTAGTTTTGGGGGAGGGTTAGCCTAATGTTTGTGTCTGAATTGTTTACACAGGCAGGCAAAACCGCAATCTCTACACTGTAAGGACACATATTCAGCATAGTTCAGAAAGACAACCCAGAAAAGCTCTGTTACAGACACTGGATTCATCCAAGCCTACCTTCCCCGTGAGCGTGCTCCGAGCAAGAAGGCGAACAGAGAGCAGAGAGTCATGTATAAAAATAAGGTTCTAAAGAACTGACTCACAGCACGACCGAAAGGTTTTCCAGGCTGTATTATGAGAAGAGCCCTAGATTGCTTGGAAGGTCATTTACTAACTACAACATGACAGGTCAAAAGAGTAGTTACTGTTTATGAGAGAAAGAGAGAGAGAAAATGTATAAAAATCAATCCACCTACACTAGAAGGTACTGTGAAAAAACCCAAACCACTGAAATCCAAAAACATACGAGTAAGACCAAACAAGGTTTGAATAAGCCTGTGCCACATGCAAGAACACGGGAATTGGAAGACGGCTGAATTACTGCGCCCTTGGCTCACGCTGCACTCGCTACTCCGGTTCTGCTTTCCTGAGCCTACAGCATCTCTCCGAAACCCTGGGCCATGCTTCAGAGGGAGCGCTAGTCTCTGCTTCTGAAACCTCTGCCTAGTATCCCACTGTGTGACTAAGTATTTGGCAAGCAAATCCAAACCCAAGGGCTGCTACCACTGAAGGCAGCTGTCAAATGGAAATTAAATTATCACCCAGGAATTAATTTTGAAGCTCAAGTCCTCACCACAATTTAAGTTGCCTCACCCAACAAGACAACATTACAGCAAGACATCACTGACTCGACAAGCCAGCAATCAAACGGGTCCAGCGAAACTACTTGGTGGCACCCCACTTCAGTAGTTACTGGAAAAGGGTCAGGCGTGAAAAGATGGAGCCCCCTCGCTGCAGGACCGAAAGATGCTCAGCATCCAGCCAGGCACGCTCAGAACCTGGCAACGCTGGTGACCACGGGAGCACCGGCTACTGTGCAAAATTCCTGCAGAAATTGCTCCTATCTCCTCATTCCCCGCTTTTTTCCTTGGTAGAGCGAGGCATAGATGTCCTCTTGTGTTTTTAGTACTCACAAAGCTTTCAGTCCTCATTTTACGTGACCTGGTATTAATCTGTTTTCACCATCAACACAGATCACAAATCCTTTTTCAGGAAGAAAGCCAGATGTGTTACACCTCCGCTTTTCAGGCTGCCAAGCCATTATCAACAACAGCACGCTCAACAGCAGCGAGCTGGAAGACTTGTGATGGCATTATCACCTGACAATAAGCATAACTGCGTAATCACTTGGGGCTTTCCAAAAACTACCCACTGACCGTACGCAGACACGCATCTGTGTTTTGACAGTACGCTCCATTTGTCAAAGCTGACTGAGAGAGCTATAAGCCCTGTTTTTAAGAGTAAAATTGTGATTAAATGTATCGCTGAGCACACATCGTGGTTACGTTCCTTCCCGAGACACGCAAACCTGATCTTTCCAGATACATCTTACAAAATAACAACAATTAAGCACAAAGCTGTCTCTCTCAAAGGGGTGGATTACAAAAGACGCAATAAAGTCTAAGGGCGATCTGAAGCGCCGATTTGGCTTTCTGACATGTCAAAGGGTGTCCAGGTTCTCCAGGCAGGACGAGAGCATCTCATCCCGGAGACACCCCCTCCCAGCTCACGCAGCGGTCGTAACAATGCGACGGCTGCAGGGATCCCGAGGCAGGGAACCGGACCGTACCTTCGTGGGTAGGCTCTGGGTCGGGTGTCAGCGAGATGTCGTCCAGCTCGCGCAAGCAGAGCCATTCTCCATCCATCGACACTCGGAATTTGCAAAGATAGATGGTCTCCATGGCAGCCTGAGTGATCTTGTCTGTGGTGGGGGTTGGCATGTCGCTTTGAGGCGTCAGAGCAGACATGATGACTCAGCTGGTACGACAACAACAGGGGGGAAAAAAAAATAAGAACTAAAAAGAAAAGCTTTCTGAAGAAGAAAATGAGAAATACCTTGCTGTTAAAGGACAAATATGCTCAGGATCGCACAGACTGCTCTGGCCTTTTCATATATAAAGCAAGGTAAAAACGCTGCTGCTTCACGCTCGTCTCTTCCTCCCTGCTTTCCACCAACCGCCGCCGTCGTCAGCTATGCTAGAGGCTATTGATCCTAAGTGACCACAGAAAACCTGGCTTCTGCATCAAAGACAGGAGGTAAGGGAAAAAAAAAAAAAAAAAAGGGAAAAAAAAATATAAAAGGAAAAAAAAAAAGCAGAAGGAGGAAAAAGAATGGCTTCCTCTGATGATTACCCAAGCAAAAGCAAAGGAAGACTGTAGAGACGGATATCCAGGTTTGCTGAAATCAAACTGCTGGTCCCTTTCTTCCCAGATACGCCAGGACAGCGAGTGCCGATAGGATTGGTTGTGCGCAGTAAGCAGGGTGTTGACCAAAATGGCTGACTAATGAACTGAACTGAAAATTCAGGCTCATGTGATCAGCTGCTCTGAGCGTAGGGCAAGCAATTCCCAGGATGCTTCCTAGACGCGGCTGATGCAGGGAGGGCAATTAGGCTCTCATCATCCACAGCACCTTCTCATCAGGCTGCGCTCCTCAATTTGCGAGCCAGCAGAACGCGCCACGCGGATTTCTCATCCATCGCCCCCATACTACAAAGGAGCGCAGACCAGCAGCGCGAGGAATACAAAGACGCATTTGTATTCCTTTCACGTGCCTGGATGTCACTGCATGAATTAAATAAGCACCTTTGTTTTCACGGCAGGTGTGCAAGTTGCGGTTTACGTTTTACTCCCCGTGCGACCTTCTCAAAGGGTACCTTTGAGCTAAGATTTCCAACGTAGAAAAAAAATATTAGGATGGATTTATCCTCTCGGGGAAACAATGAGGGGGAAAAAACAAGATCTGTCTCTCAGCACTTGAGCGATCGAGGATTAAGCTCTTTTCGGAGGGCACGTGCACATGGCAAAACAAGGAGGGACAACACCTCAAACATATATAGCCACTTGACTGAATCTTACGCTTTAACAACCCTATCTGAAAATTGGTACTGCTCAGGCGAGGCTGATGAAGAAGTATTACCTCTCAGCAGGCAGAGAAACAGACTTTCTATCTCTCAAGATTAAGATGACAGCGCTGCATTGCCCTGTCCCTTCCCGGCCGGCTGAATCTCCCCCGTGTCCCCAACCCAGGCAGCCCCACCTCTATGGGACAAGAGGTCCCAGGTCAACAGACACCCTTCTTATTCCCGAGGTCGCTATTTCACCAGGGCACGGGACACAATATCACCACCCACTTCAACTACGATGCCGGGCAACAATAAATTACCTTGTCTTACTTAATTCCTGTGTGGCTCCGGTATATTCGTGCAGAGCAGGCGCGTAGCATCCATCTGAAATGGATGCCTGGTCCTCCCCCATGTACATTGGGAGAAGGCTGACTGTTCACCAGAAAAGCACACTGATGGAACATACAAACAATTAATGCAAGGGCCCTTCATTATTCTCCCTACTTTTTCTTCCCTAAAGAAATGCTCAAAAGGATGTGCGTGTGTTTCTTAGGGATGTGAAACACAGAAACTGATTGTTTGATACAGAATTCAGCATACCAATGCCTACAGCTGTTTGAAAAAAAGCACCCATTAGGCAAAAACCTCATAGAACTGGAGAAAAGGGTTAAGAGCTGTTATTTCTAACAGGCAAGAGGAAGCAGTCGCTTTCAGTGAAAACTTCCTGCTTGGT